TGTAGTAGGTGACCACAGTGCCTCGGTAGAGGGAAGGGAGTAGGTGCCAACAGTGACCAGGTAGAGGGAAGGGAGTAGGTGCCCACAGTGTTCGGGTAGAGGGAAGGGAGTAGGTGCCCACAGTGTCCTGGTAGAGGGAAGGGAGTAGGTGCCCACAGTGACCTGGTAGAGGGATCACCATTGTAAATAATGAGATTCTCCATGTTTAGCGCTGTCATGATATACAAATGGGGCTCAGGTGTGACAGGTGGCACCATTGTAAATATTGAGATTCTCTATGTTCAGCGTTGTCACGATATACAGATAGCGCTCAGGTGTGACTGGGGGCACCATTGTAAATATTGAGATTCTCCATATTCCACGTTGTCACGATATACAGATGGTGCTCAGGTGTGACTGGGGGATAAATAACCATTTTATACAAAACATACATCTCCTCATGTAATCTGTAGTACTGTGAATTGGAAGTTTGTGTGAGGAATGGCGCCATAAACTGAGGTAAATTCCGAGCTGCGTTCTCCATGTCTTGTTCTGGCTCGGGTGAAGCAGTGCTGGGTCACCTCACATACCTGGCACCCCCCTGTGTGTGCACCACATTGTCCCAGCCCACAAGATGTCCGCCTCCATTCCGTACAGCAACACTTTAAATTGTTAAAAATCGGATTTGTCATGTCCTGGAGGTCAGTGACCCCGGCAGACCCGCTCCCTGTCAGCCCGGCCATCTTCCACGGGGCCGCCCGTTCCCCTCCGCCAAACTTCTGCCGACTCTTGTGTATAGGAGGCGGAGAAGGACAGCACTGAGCCCCGACTCCCTCCCCCAGGCCCGCCATTGGCTCTGCTCCCCGCTTTATCCCACACTGCACCGCGTGGCGCGTCATTGAACAGAGCCCATGATGGCGGCGCTGGGTGCGAGTGAAGTGATCGCCCAGCTGGAGAGCGCTGCCAAAGTTTTAATGGTGAGTGAGCTCCGACCTGGGGGGTTGCATGGAGGCTGGCTGTGGGGGAGACTGGTAGCGACTGGTGCCCACAGTGACTAGGGTGGAGGGAAAGGGAGTAGGTGCCCACAGTGACTCCATGGTGGAGGAAAAGGTCCAGGTGCCCACAGTGACCCCGGGGGTGGAGGGAAGGAAGTAGGTGCCCACAGTGACCCCCAGGGTGGAAGGAAGTAGGTGACCACAGTGACCTGGTAGAGGGAAGGGAGTTAGTACCCATAGTGACCTGGTAGAGGGAAGGGAGTAGGTGCCCATAGTGACCTGGTAGAGGGAAGAGAGAAGGTGCCCTTAGTGACCTGGTAAGGGGGAAGAGAGTAGGTGCCCACAGTGTTCTGGTAGAGGGAAGGGAATAGGTGCCGACAGTGACCAGGTAGAGGGAAGGGAGTAGGTGCCCACAGTGTTCTGGTAGAGGGAAGGGAATAGTTGCCGACAGTGACCAGGTAGAGGGAAGGGAGTAGGTGCCCTTAGTGACCTGGGAAGGGAGTAGGTGCCCACAGTGACCTGGTAGAGGGAAGTTAAGTAGGTGCCCATAGTGACCAGGTAGAGGGAAGGGAGTAGGTGCCCACAGTGACCTGGTAGAGGGAAGGGAGTTAGTACCCATAGTGACCTGGTAGAGGGAAGGGAGTAGGTGCCCATAGTGACCTGGTAGAGGGAAGAGAGAAGGTGCCCTTAGTGACCTGGTAAGGGGGAAGAGAGTAGGTGCCCACAGTGTTCTGGTAGAGGGAAGGGAATAGGTGCCGACAGTGACCTGGTAGAGGGAAGGGAGTAGGTGCCCACAGTGTTCTGGTAGAGGGAAGGGAGTAGGTGCCGACAGTGTTCTGGTAGAGGGAATAGAGAAGGTGCCCTTAGTGACCTGGGAAGGGAGTAGGTGCCCACAGTGACCTGGTAGAGGGAAGTTAAGTAGGTGCCCATAGTGACCAGGTAGAGGGAAGGGAGTAGGTGCCCACAGTGTTCTGGTAGAGGGAAGGGAGTAGGTGCCCACAGTGTTCCTGTAGAGGGAAGGGAATAGGTGCCGACAGTGACCTGGTAGAGGGAAGGGAGTAGGTGCCCACAGTGTTCTGGTAGAGGGAAGGGAGTAGGTGCCCACAGTGTTCTGGTAGAGGGAAGGGAGTAGGTGCCCACAGTGACCTGGTAGAGGGAAGGGAGTAGGTACCCACAGTGACCTGGTAGAGGGAAGGGAGTAGGTACCCACAGTGACCTGGTAGAGGGAATAGAGAAGGTGACCTGGGAAGGGAGTAGGTGCCCACAGTGACCTGGTAGATGGAAGTGAAGTAGGTGCCCATAGTGACCAGTTAGAGGGAAGGGAGTAGGTGCCCACAGTGACCTGGTAGAGGGAAGAGAGAAGAGTGTTCTGGTAGAGGGAAGGGAGTAGGTGCCAACAGTGACCAGGTAGAGGGAAGGGAGTAGGTGCCCACAGTGTTCTGGTAGAGGGAAGGGAGTAGGTGCCCACAGTGTTCTGGTAGAGGGAAGGGAATAGGTGCCCACAGTGACCTGGTAGAGGGAAGGGAGTAGGTGCCCACAGTGACCTGGTAGAGGGAAGTGAAGTAGGTGCCCATAGTGACCAGGTAGAGGGAAGGGAGTAGGTGCCCATAGTGACCAGGTAGAGGGAAGGGAGTAGGTGCCCACAGTGACTCCAGGGTGGAGGGAAAGGTCCAGGTGCCCACAGTGACCCCAGGGGTGGAGGGAACAAGGTACGTGCCCAGAGTGACCCCCAAGGTGGAAGGAAGTAGGTGCCCACGGTGACCACCAGGGTAGAAGGAAGTAGGTGACCCCAAGGGTGGAAGGAAGGAAGTAGGTGCTCACAGTGTCCCCCAGGGTGGAAGGAAGTAGGTGCCCACAGTGACCCCCAGGGTGGAAGGAAGGAAGTAGGTGCTCACAGTAACCCCAGGGTGGAAGGAAGGAAGTAGGTGCTCACAGTGACCCCCAGGGTGGAAGGAAGGAAGTAGGTGCCCACAGTGACCCCCAGGGTGGAAGGAAAGAAGTAGGTGACCCCCCAGGGTGGAAGGAAGTAGGTGCTCACAGTGACCCCAGGGTGGAAGGAAGGGAGTGGGTGCCCACAGTGACCCAGGTGGCCTGCTCTGTGATCTGCCCTCCTTTGTGCCACCAGCTGGATCCTGGCACATCATCATCCAGCAGCATACACACCGCTGGGCTATGGCCGGCTCTGCTGCTCTCATGGCAGTTGTGTAGTTTTCAGCCCGGCTGTCTGGGGTACTTCAGATGTACTTAGCTGCTGCCATGCCCATCTATCACCTCCCAGACCAGCCACTGTAACAGGCCGCACACTTCACTGCCCCGGAGACTATGTATTGTCCTAATGCTGCAGATGGCAGATCTAGAAGATGATACAATCAGATTATATAGTGTGTGGTCATCTGTCGTTGCTCAGTTGTACAATAAGTAGCAGAAGACACGTTTGCGCTGATGTGTGTCCCAATGTGGTCCCAGCCGGGTCAGCTACACGGTGTGAATGATTGCACAGATATATGTATGGAGGTGATTAGAGCTCTGCTAGATTGCAGCATAGAGACCTGTTGTATGACCCCTGTAGGTGGCTGAGATGAGATCCGTGCACAGAATCCATTCAGTATAGATATAAATATATAAGCCGGTTGCCTTCGTCCATCAGAGTGCTTTTCTGAGTATGAGCGGACCTAAATTGCTGTGTGCATGGGGACCATTAGAGGTCGGTCGCTGGAGGTTTTCGCTAGGAGATCTGGCCATACACTGTTCTGTTTTTTTTTTTTTGTTCAACTTGTGGGCTGAACGAAATTCGCACAGTGTATGACCGCCTTTTAAAAAAAGAAAAAATCAGCGACATAGCGCAGTAGTGTGGCAAGCTAGCAACTTTGCCAATTACAGGATTGCTGTGCAGAGAAATACTAACCAGCTTCCACAGCACAGCCCCCTCGCCGGTGGAAACACTGCTGGACCACCATACAGAAATCCAAGATTACATCACTACGGGTGTCACTGGGCACATTCTCTGGCTCCTAGAACCAGAAGAAGAAGCTGGTGAAGCAGATCTCCTAGGTGACAGGGGCCTGAAAGACCTCTGAAGTATCTATAAAGAGGACCTGTCACATTAAATTTGCTATTTAATAGGGGGCCCCCTATGCAATAGCAATAATTTTGGTTATTGTAGTTTTTTGCGGTTTCACGGACGCACGCAATTTTAAGACTTTACATGTTTGGTATCATTTTACCCAACGTGACCCCATCTTTTATATTTTACTGAAAAAGTGGGTATTATCTTCTGTTTCTGTGTGCTAAATTTCATTTTAGTGTATTCTATCCTAAAAATACTTGTTTAACCACTTGCTGACCGGGGTGTTTACACCCCCTTCCTGTCCAGGCCATTTTTCAGTATTCAGCGCTGTGGTACTTTGACATTTATTCCGTCATGCCACGCTGTACTGAAATTAATTTTATACCATTGTTTCTGGACAGATAGAGCTTTCTTTTGGTGGTATTTAATCATCACTGAGGTTTTTTATTTTTTACTATATAATGAAAAAGTGCTGAAAATTTTGAAAAAAAACCCTGTTCTCCCTACGTTATGTTAGAAAACATTTATTATTACCCAATTTTTTGGTAAAATATAAAAGTCGGGGTCACGTCGGGTAAATAGACACCAACCATGTCAAGCTTTAAAATTGCACGCACCCGCTAAATCGCAAAAAACTACCATACCCGAAATTGGCCATGGGCGACGCTTTAACAGCTTTTACCGCTCATCAGTTTAGTGTTACCAGTGATTGATGGCCCTAGAATTATTGCTCTCACTGCGACGTTCGCGGCGATATGTAACATGTGCGGCGCAATGGATGTAATCGTCGTTTTCGCACGTAGGCACAAAGCATGCTATGCATTGCATTGTGCAATAGTGTATGCTAAATGCATGGATACTTTACTGCAGTGCTTTGGTGAGAATTGGCCGTTAAAACTGTATATCTACAGTGTGAGATCTAAGGCACTGCGATCTGCATGAGAGAGATTTGGTAATGTAACTGCTGTGCTATTCACTGGTCTACTAGAGAAAGCAAAGCCGTACCTCTACCAGGATGGCCACCTCCACACAGACACGAAGAACAAGGCACTGTAAGTCCGTAATGAGGAAAAATCAGCTGCAGGGAGACCACAGGCAATACTAGTGACTAGTCCTCTACTTGCCTTTCTTTTCTCTTTAAATAAAAATGGAATGGCCTGTTTTTGTAGGCCCCCTCACTGCTTAGTTTTTGGTACGTTTAAAGGAGATTGTACAATCAGATTGGAAGGTGCATGGCTGGCATTACACTACCTCAATGTTTGCTTTACTTGCATGGAGAGTGAGAGAATAAGAATATAATGACACAGAAGACTAAAGCATGTGACACTTTTATAATACACTAAAAGCCTTTGTGGTCCTCCTATTTCTGTGCAGATCAAACTCCTCCCGTTGTGGTGATCCACAATATTTGTTACATTCTGTGAGCTCTTACCATTCTGATGTTAGAATGTTGTTGTTTTTTATGGATTTCTGCAAAGATTAAAAAGTAGCCGGAGGACACATTTAGTACACGTGCAATGTTAAGAATTCAAAGGAATTGGATGTTCAACAGCAACATTATTTTTATAGATGGTTTAATTGGATGTTAGGTTGGTGTGCTTGCCTTTTGTGCCTTGAAATGCCTTGTTATGCTCTTTATTTCTGCAGCTATTGTAAATGAGCAATTCTTCACTCTGTAAATACGTTCTGTCGCTCTTGTTCAATAAGCCAATCGGAATCCATTTACTACAGTTCAGTCAAATAATTTTTGTAGGTTACTGTGTGTTGTATGTCAAGCCCTATTTTTTGCCTTTGCAGTAGAACGGAACGTAGGCAAAGTTTTACTCGCACTGCGGGGGGTGGCGTGGAAGCAGTGCCATTGAATTCAATGTACCGCCACGTCCCCTCCTGCCCCAGAACGCAGGGGGAAGATCGT